GTCTTATTTCTGGAGATAATTTCCCTTCTTTTCCGTGCTCCTTGTCTTTACGCTGTATAGTTAAGGTGTACAGTTATATAAATATCTATATTTCTTTTATAAAGAAGCATTTTATGGAGCTAATTTATTCCCTCATTGTGGGAAAGACTGGTGTGGGCGAAGTCGTGTTTTAGTTTTTGTTCAGTTTTTTTTCTTGAGTAATAGAAGGTCGAGGGGAAACGCGTATGTTTGAGTGTGTGTATGTTGGGCGTGTGTGTCGGTGCATGTGTGTGTGTGGGTGTAGAACTGTATGAGTGTGTCCAGTATGCATGCACATGTGTGAGTGCAAGATCGGGCGCCACAAGTTCAGCCTCATAAGTTCCTCATAGATTTAACGCAGGCGTTGAAAATCAGTCTGCACGCAGAAGCACCTTGGTTCATAGAATACAGAATGCATGCAATACAGGAGAGCTGACAAGCATCTGCATACTCATGTACTTCTTTACTGCATACTTGTGTACTCATGTACTTGTTTTAAAGGGTTGGCCACTTGTACAGAAATGTAACATAGTTACACAATAGTTTATATTCTGTCCCCATGTGTGCTGTCTTTTTTTTCATCCATTTCTCTGTAATCGTGTTCATTTTCTCTTCTTGTGACCAATCTGCTAATAAATTGTGAGGACTTGTTTCGTCTGCTCACCTGTGCCCAAATGACATCTTTGTACCTTTGATTTCTTTTGGTGTTCAGGTCCTTTTCTCTAAAGTCACTAAACATCTGACTTGCCAGAGTTTCTGAAACAGCAGGGTCAATAATGTTTCTTACATTTACTCTAAATTCATGAAGAAGAAGCTTTTCAGGTGACGCTTTACCACCTCGACGTCATAAAAGCAAAACTGCTTCGTGTTTTAACAATTTGGCCTTAAGACATCTACGGCAGCTGAGAGCTTTAACTCCTGTGTTAACAGTTTTGTTAAATATTAAGTTTTCTTATTTGTGGGATTTTCGGCAGGTAAACAACCGTTTTTGTTGTAATCTTTTTAGAAAGGCGGTGTGGCTGGCGTTAACTTGAAGGCTGTTTTGAATTTCAAGATCCAGAAGTCACTTTTACCGGCAGGCTAACAAAGATGGTTAAATGTTGTAATAACAATGCACTGTTTGTTTGGTGGAACTACTAAACAATTTTGTGATTTAGGTGTGAACCGTTTTTTCTTTTTAAATGGCCTTTGACTTGAGATTGGAGTATTGTATGCTAAAACTGATTATTTATTTAGAAACAAAGTTGACTGGAGACTTTATTCATAAAAAGAAATAGCTTAGTAATCAATAGCTTTTAAATGGAATTCTGCTTTATGAGATGCACACAGACTAACTGTCAGGAACATATTTTACAGGCTCAATCTTGGAGCAGGATTTTGTTTTTCTTTAACTTTTAGAGCAGCTTTTTCTGTTCTGCAAAAATGTTTCTGTCAGTTTCTGTTTTTTTAAACAAACATACTTAGAGTTGTCAGTCTTATTTTTCTGAAGTTCTCAGAAATATAAATGCCTCTGTACTTGACTCCTTCTTTTCATCTGAATTTCTGTACATAAATAAACTGAGACATGTTCATCTCTTCACTGACTGACAGGATGTTTTTGTTTTGTTATTTATAGATTGTACTTCAACAAGTCCAGGCACAAGGAGTGCAGTGTGCGTTATATACACTGCAAATATGTGTCACATTGTCAGTTCACTTTGTCTCACATTCCTGCAGTAAGATTTTAACTTGCTTTCTTGCAATGAAATCCTTTTTTAGGATTAACACAGTGAAATATCAGACGAGGCAAAGTCAGAAGTTACTAAGCAACAGAATCAGTCGGCTACTTGGCTCAGTTGAGTGGTTGACACACAGTTCTCTCATGTTGTGCAGGAAAATACAGCAGAGTTTAGTCTCTGGGTTTTAAGTGAAAGACACGTTACAGCTAAATGTTCAGTTCAAGTTAACTGACGAATAATTTGAGTGACTTTTGTTTTATTGTAGCCACATAATGACATTAAACAAGAAGAGAGACAATGTGTGTGCCAATTGAAAAGACATAAGGACATATTTTGACTATGTAATGACATGAAATAACTAGAATATCAGCTCACACCAAATACATATTGTTATATTATTAAATATACTTTATGGTCTGATTGATCATTTTCAGTTAATTTAAACTATTAAGATTATAGTACCTTCAGCTCAAGTCATAAGTCCATGAGGACTGACCGTAGACTGTTAGAGACACTGCGCTCCCTCTAGTGGACACATAGAAAACTACAACAACACAATCAAACAGAACACATCGTTTTATTTCTGTTTTTGTTGTGACTGGGAGAGCGAAAGTTTGTAAAGTTTCATTGTGTATCTTGTTAGTTTATTTGTTCTGTTAAAGTTGTTAAAAAGATCAACGTTATACATTCATGTTAGTTAGAAGAAAGCTCTTTTTACAAACCGTTGACCGGAAGCACTCGTTTGCTGTTCTGTATGAGTTTTACAGTTGATTGAATGTTGCTGAGTGAGCCGTTAAAACAACACCGCCCTCATGTGGCCACAGGACGTTACTGCACTGAAGTCGAGTCAAGACAAAACACCGTTTTTCTTATTGTTAAACTTGGTTTTATATATTATTTTACATCTATTTATTTTATTTGACCTTTTTATATTACATAACCTCCATTTGTTTTCATTGAACCTTTAATATCATATAATTTATCATATCGTTTAAAGTTTTCTTTACTTTTCTTAAAAATAAATATATTATATTATGTATATAATATATAAAATATAAATAGTTTGAGTTATTCTCTGTGTTAATTCAGCAGCAGATTTGGAGAAGTCTGCTGCTGAATAAACCAGTTAAACCAGTTAAAACAAAAGAATGGACTCCTCAACATCTGTGCTCTCTTGTGCTTATCGACAGATCACTGATGACTGACTGATTGGTATGAATCATAGACTGTAAATATTATGAATCCCTAAACTTGTGAACCAGAGCCCCTAGACTGTAAATGTAAAGGGCGGAGCCCACAGAGTAAAAGTACTTCCGTCACTGACATAAAAAATAAAAAAAAAACCTTTTCAACACACACATTGACCTTTGTTACCGTTCCTTTGAGCCTTTTGACATCAGTTTATGATCCACAACCACTTCCTGTTTCTGTGCTTTAGTTCATTAACTAGACTCTTCTCCTCTGTCGCCCCCTACTGGTGAAAGGAACTAAACTCCATTTGATCTGCAGAGTCCCTCTGCACCTTTAAGAAAAAGCTAAAGACCCAGCTTTTATGACCACCTACCACCTTAATGATATTATTGATGATGATGGTTTTGTTTGATAATGATGATGAAGATATTTAGGATAGTTTTGATGCTGATTAGATCTCTGAAGAACAGCTGTCGATGTTGTGCTCTGCCTCTGGAGTGATATTTTTGGATAGGTAGTCGAATTTAAATCAGGAGAGACGAGTGAATTAAGAAAGAAATGATTTATTATAATGGATAAGAGGGAAATGTGACTTGACAGAAATACTTTGGAGCTTGGACTCTATGGGGGTGATTGATGTTTGAAGAATAACAATTCTGAGTGTTGACAGAATAAATCCCCTGATGGAGTCCAGACCCTGGTGGTGCTGAAGCTGAGGACATGATGAGACCGGATGGTCAGCACCAGCACCCTCGTACATTTTCAGTGAAGTCATGGTGAGCTAATGTGAATCGCAGTAGGAAAGATCATCCTGTCAGCGGAGCCACAGCCTCCTTATCTCCTACCCTGAGCTGTAAGAGTCCGACACTCACCTTCTTTCCTGGCTCTCCTCCAATTCCAGGTGGTCCTCCCTCACCGGGCTCTCCTGTGGAAAGAATCGTTTTCATTTAGATCCAAATTAAACCTTTTTTTAAGGAAAGTTTAAAACTCAGAAATATTGCTTTCATGCCAGCGAAACACCCCTCACCTTCTCTCCAAGAGGGCCAGGGTTACCCAAACCACCAGGAGGACCTTGAGGACCCTGAAAAATATGCAAAAAAATCAGAAAAAAAGATTGATGAATTCACATCCAAATAAATATTATCTGCTAATAGATTAGAGATAGTTTACATTTGTTTGACCAGATTATGTAACAGTTACTTGTTCAATTACATTAACAATATTTTATAAGAGGACCTTGAGTCTGTAATGAAGTTTAAATTCAATTGAAACTATCTGAGGTCATCTGATACAAACCTTTCACATTATCTGCCTAACAAACAAAATTAAGTGTGGGGGGTTTTGTACAGTTTTATAAAGATAACTCGGCTCTACATCAGCTCTCTGTAATGTTACCAACGCAGAAAACGTTTCATTTAAAAAGATAAAGTCTGTAAACACTCACGTCAGCACCGTTGGGTCCAGCAGGGCCACGGGGGCCTGGAGGTCCAGGTGGACCCTAGAAAAGTAAAGAGGCTCAGGTTTTAATCAAGATTTATGATTTCATGGTGACAAAACAAGTAACTGAATTAAAAAAAAGCACTGAAGTCATAGAGTAATGAAACTCACCAGGGGTCCAACATCTCCAGTCTCTCCCTTCTCACCTGAAGTTCCTGGCAATCCCTGCAGAAAAGGAGTAAAAGTTACACAAAGAATTTGTTTAGATTAACTTAGCTAAAGATTACAACTCAAAATTCAAGCCTGATATACAGTATATGTTTTCTTTGAGTTTATTTTTTGGGCTTTATGTCTTTACTGATAGGACAGAGAATGAAGTCAGAAACAGGGATTAGAGCGAGGTCAGAGTGGAAACCAGGCCGTCTGCTTGGAGGACGATAGCCTCTGTTCACGGGGCGATTACATGAAAGTCTAAAGTAAGAAGTGATTAAGGATTTCAGTGATTCTGTAGCTGTAGTGTATATTGTTGTTTGTATTTGACCTGCAGTCCGATGGGTCCTGGGCTCCTGGGAATCCTCTGGTACCTTCGTCACCTTTGGATCCAAAAGGTCCCTGCTGGCCCCTGGCTCCAAGCTCTCCATCAGCACCCTGCACCATAGAAGAAGAAAATGAAAGACACAAACATTTAGATAAATCAATAAGTTCACCGGGAAAAAAAAACATCAATGTTATCATTATATTCATTAAACATTTCATGTTTTAACTTAGTTGTTCTGATGTATGAATATGTATGAATTGTTTACCCGTTTGTTCAGAACAGATTAAAGATCTGAGAGTGTCACAGTGACATCCACCATATCCCCCCCAAACTCAAATAACACTACATGCATCAACATGAAAGTTAAACATCAGTTACAAGTTCAACAAACCCGATTTTGTCTTTAAAGAGTTCAGGGTGGTACTTACAGCAGGTCCAGGCTGACCAACAGGACCCATTGGCCCGGGTGGACCAGGAGGACCCTACCAACAAACACACAACAAGCCCACAGGCAGTAAGCATAACATCAAAACAGAGGAAAGAATAAACAACAAACTACATTGTTCAGGAATGTTGTCGATCAGAAATACATTTTGGGCTTGACGTTAGTCACTTACATGTTCTCCTTTACCTCCCTTGGCGCCCTTCTGACCATGCTCTCCAACTTCACCCTGTAGACACAGAAATATCCCGTTACAGAAAATAGTTTCAAAATAAAGACTCATCATGTCTGATTAAAGCATGGAGAACTCACACCTCAATCAGCCAATTTATCTAAACAAGACACAAAAACGATGAAGACATAGCTGCCTACATTAAGGTTAAAAATACAAGAGGGTGGGGGTGATCGGAGGTGTGCGTTAATCAAGTCAATAAAGTCGTCACATAATGAAAATGTGACATTCTTCCTTTAAGATGGGACGTTAAGACGTTCCTTGCCTCTGTGTGTCCTAAAGTTATGAAGGTTGGTGAAAGAAGGGTAACCTCCTCTGTTGCTCTTTATTAAAAGCTGCTTTGCACACTTATCCAGACGACTCACGATAATAAAACGAAATGATTCAGTCCAGCTCTGCGGTCGACATTTTTTATGTAGATGTGGATTGTTTGTGTTTATCATGACTAATAGATGATCTTGCAACTTTGGTATCTTAGGACACATATAAAAAATGAAGGTAAGCGAAATATGGATTATTCAGACTAAGATTGTAGGGATTTTCCCGTGAGATATAACAGAACAGGAGGAGGCCGGGAGATGGCCTTGAACTACAGGACACACTCGGGAGTGTTGGCAGGTATGGATTAAGAAGGTGACAGGTGTTTTTTTAGAGTTACTGGCCTTGTCTCCGTCCTCTCCTGGTACTCCAGGTGATCCAGCAGGGCCAGGCAGACCCACAGGACCCTGCACTCCATCACGACCTGCTGGGCCAATAGGGCCTTTTTCACCCTTAATAAGAGAAGAAGAACAAAGAGGAAGATCAACAGTCAATCACTTTCCTTTGGCTGGATTGAAAACACATACAAAATGTCAAACTGCTCAATGGATGAACATTTCCAGAATACTCACAGGAACTCCCTTCTCTCCAGAAGGTCCAGGAGGCCCCTGAGGGCCTGGTCTGCCAGGAGGTCCAACAGGTCCAGCAGTACCAGCTAGACCCTCTCACCAGGAGATCCCTGGAAAAACAAATATCATGAAGACAGTACTGACTGCAGCAGGTGTTGGGATGTACCGTTATGAACAAACTAAAACTATTTTATTAACACTTCCCATTATTAGATATTACATTAAGTTTAGTATCAAAGTCATGAACTACAGAACAAAAGGAACACAGATCATGGACTGATTGACGTAAAGTAACTTCTGTTCCTGTATCCCTTTACGACAAACTTAAACTAGTTAGCTAGTCAGATAGCACAGTAATGTTTTCTCCTATAAATGGTAAAAGTTTGAGTTTAAACTTACAGCAGGTCCAGGGGGTCCAGCAGGTCCTTCACTTCCCTTCAGTCCTCCACCTCCCTAGAAGAAGGGACACAAAGTGTTTGATCAATCTCCATTTCTGTGAGACAATTTTATCCAATTCACTTTTATACAGGTGATCCAACAAAGACATAACAGTTTGTATAACTGGAAAATCTGCCCTCAATGTTTCTATTGGTCATGCTCACAGGGGTTCCAGGAAGTCCTCTCTCTCCAGGGAAGCCTCTCAGTCCCGGTGGCCCATCTTTCCCAGGCCCTCCGGGGGGTCCAGGGTCTCCTTTGGTACCTTCCTTTCCTGAGGGACCAGAAAGTCCCTGCTCTCCAGGTGGACCTGGGGGTCCAGGGTGGCCACGCTCACCCAAGGGGCCGGTCTCTCCTGATGGACCCTGGATGTGGGAGAGCAAAGTGGAAATACAGGTCACAGAAGATAAGAAAGGGTGGAGGTCCGATATTAAAGAACAAAAGTCAAATGACATTATTATGAAAATTGATGTTATCCTAAAAATTCTGGAAAATTCTGCACCATGATGGAAAACTTACCTGAGGTCCAACAACTCCAGGAGGCCCAGGTGGACCCATTTTACCTTGGAAACCCTGGAGGAGAGAAATTCATTTCAATAAACATTTACAAGTCATTGAACCTTTAACCCCCTGCAACATGTGAACAAATATTTAAAGGTCACAGCGATTCTTCAAGTTACCATCTAGAACGAAACAATGAAGAAATACTGATTCAAACACTATAGTACAGATAATATTCAACCTATTTATAATCTGTGAGTGAATCCTGGGATTAGTGGCTTTTTCTATTCATGTCAGTAAATTCTATTATAAATGTGTGGCTTTTAATATGCCTGGATTTTAAAGACAGTTTTATATGGTATATTAATCCATCCCACCACATTGTCAACATGGAAATCAGTAGAAACATAAACTACAGAAGTCATGTATCTGTTTTCCATCTTTATGTGTCGGTTTAAGAGACGAAAAAGTCAGCACACTAAAAGTCCTTCAAAGTAAGTTTATCTGGTTAGAGCAGCAGCAGCCGTGTTTCAGCACAGGGCTTTCTTCAACGTTGCAGACATCAAGTGGAAATGCCCCTTTAAGGTGTGTGTGGTTTGCATTGAGAACAAACTGATCACTGACATGATATCTTAGGGGCTGCATGTATAAATAAACCTGGGCATCTTTTCTACAGCCCTCCTGGAGCATGCAGAGATGAACACTAAGTTTGCTTTTGGCTCCGCCTCCAGCCTGGCCCGGCTCCATCATTATCTACTGTTTTGCTTCTTGTTGGTGTTACCACACTTTAATATTTAGTTCATGTAGTTGAGATACTGAACCAAATGTGGAAGTGGGAAAAAACAAACTTACAACTTCTCCTCTCTGCCCAGGGTGTCCAGGCAGCCCGTCCTTTCCTGGGGGTCCCTGCAAGGAAACATCCGTCAGCCATCAAATATTAAATAATCTTTGTCTCAAGAGAAGACAGCAGGAAAGAGGGGACATCAAACCAAAGACCACGTTGGAAGAACTACAGATATCTTGTGTGATACCACGTCTTTATAAAAGTCGATGAAATGTGTTCTTACAGGAGGTCCTTTTGGTCCTGGGAAACCGTTGGCTCCCTGAGGCCCGGGCAATCCCTGGTGAGGCAACAACATATCAAATATTAAGATCATAAAAAGGAAACCAAATAGCACCGGTCAGTTTGGCAAAATGAGGCAGAGGTTAAAATGTTTGCTCTGATAAAGTGCTACGCAGCAGAACACGGTTTCCAAAATGAAAATGAAGCACTCACCCTCCTCCAAGTGGACCAGAAGGGCCGTCACTTCCTGATGTTCCCTAAGAACAACAATACAGTAAAAAAAGACTTTTAAATCATATTTGAACTGTTGAGGGATATCCTTACATTGTGAAATAATTTAAATGAACGAGACTGATTTTCAACAATATTAATAATCATCAAAACAGTTTGACAGAATGTTTCAGGTCAATCTAGACAAAGTTACTGTGAAGACAAACCTTTGCTCCTGATTTCCCAGTGGAGCCCCTCGGTCCTCTCTGCCCTCTGGGGCCCTGATGAGAACAAACAGAAAGTATAATGAATGACTAACATGTTGTAAATGTCATGCTATCTACGATTAAATTGATGTTCAATCAATTTTGAATTGATTAAATAAATCTCTAGTGTACATTCAGTCAGAGAGACTTTATTTTGTTCCCTTACTCTGCACCCTGCTCTCATTGTCTGGGGTCGTTATTGGGAAATCAGCTGTCTCATCAGCTGGTCTCATCTATCCAATAGCATGGTGGTTATAATCTTTCCACTCTCTATTTAAATATGATTCCCCTCTCTGTTCCTTCATTCACAGAATCCATCAATTAATCAACCATCTGATCTGTCCAGACTCCACGGGGGGATTTATCCTGCTGCCGCTCAATCCAGTCAAATCCCCCCCCATAGAGTCCAAGCGCCAAAAATCTTCTGTCAAGCCAGATCATATTATATCATTAAGTAATTAGTTCAATAGATATTCTCCTCTTTATCCACTTGTCTCTCCAGAATGAAATTGGTGCTGAAATAGTTATTTGCTGCAGTGATGTACCGGTATTCTACGAGACCCTGTGACTTCACTACTGGGTGTTGTTACAGGTGCAGCAGAGAACATTTCTGACAGAGACTATCTACAGACAGCTGTGATGCTGTGACGGGTGTAGTCAGAGGTGAAATAAGCTTCTCTTCTCGTACTTCTGTATCCTTTCTTAAACTTCAGAGAGGGAAGTGAAACTCTGCTTTTCAGCCCTGTGTTAAGTCCCTTTATCATAATAAGAATTTACAAAGTGAACTGTTAGAATAAGTGCATAAAAGTGAAATAGTACCGTGGGTCCTCTTTGTCCTCTGGGCCCTGCTTTGCCACTAAGACCCTGAAAAAACAAACAAAACAAACAAACAGTTGAGTCAAACAGAAATGATCTTCACATCACTGTCTAACACTGACTTCAGGATTCTACTTTCCTCTACAGGACTCTACATAGACCACCAGTCTATCTAATGTGTGTAGAGATCATAAATCAGCTTTCATAATGTCAACATCGATATTATTAACGTCCCTTTGTCACTTTTACAATCATAGTTTGAACAAAATCTCTCAAAGAGTCATCACATTACCCTTGTTCCCTTCTCGCCATTTGACCCAGGGAATCCTGGGAATCCAAGAGATCCCTAAAAAAACAAATCAACATTAACATCAGCACTGTCTGTCCCATCAATATTAATGTGAAATCAAAAGTCATGTTTCATGAGTGGCTAGGGATGAAAGATGCAGTGTTTGTTTCTCTTACCTTTGGTCCTAGTCTTCCAGGATATCCAGGAAGTCCAGGCACACCAAGTTTACCCTGCAATCACATGATGACATCATTAAATAATCATCTTCATCTCGATGGTCACAACATCTGTAATTCTGAATAAACAATTCAAAACTTTCACACAAACTGATTTTACAAGAAATGTAGTATAATCACATGAAACAATATATTATTATGAATCTGATGAGATAAAGTTGATCATCAGGTGTGATGAAGTCATTTCAATTTAACAAAACAGGTTTCAAAAATGTTTGGAGAAATGCATATTTATGTGCAGCAACTTCTAAAGTATAAAAAGGAATAACAAAATAAAAAAATAAACGGAAATGTTT